GAGAGCGCGATTCTTACACCATGAGAGCCATATTCGTCTGAGGGAAGGCGACATGGAGGCGTTTGTTGGAGTGAGGAAGGGAAGAGCTGACTTGGAGGAGATGGAGCTCCTTGATTGGTTTGGCAGGATCAAGGACGATGGATTCGAGTACTTTTTGTCCTCCCATATGGCGAGCTTCCAGGCTGGCGATCAGAACGGAGGTAATGTCTTGACGATGAGAAGATAGATAATGGGAGTCAAGATGAAAGATAAACGGCCGACTACGACGTCATGATCATGACTTTTCCCTTTTGTTATTGGAGTTACGATTCGGATTTGATAATGTGGATACGGAAGAGGGCGGGCACATGGTCGTACACGAGAATCCCCAGCGCCGGCCGTCGAGCCCCTCGCACCCTCCTGAGCCCTCTTGCGCGCCCGTAGGAGAGCTATAGAGCTCGAGAGGTCAATAGAGAGCTTCAGCGCCGATTTTCAGGTGGTATCTGCAGGTGATTCTTGCAGCTTTTAGCCTAATCGGGGGCTTCCCCTGAAATGACAGATCTACTATATATTACTATCTAGACCTGAAAGAGCTAAATCCTAAAAACTTCTACTTGATAAGAAAGAAAACAAAATACATATGTTTAGCTAAGCAGCGCACTCCTGCTCCTTTATATGGCCGGATTCTTAAACGTGACTGCAAGAAGCATGCGAACGCCGTCCTAGTATATCCAATAAGTAGGCTTCAAATTTCAAACCTATGCAGGACAGCCTAAGTATATCAACTGAAATAAGAGCACTGCTATCACATACGACCATAGACTGAGGAGAATTGGGCATCCCGTCCGCTCTGCCATACACAAGCCTCAGATCGGCAGATTAGTAGTTGGGTGGGTGACCACCAGCGAATACCTGCTGTTGTATGTCTTTTTTCTTTTCTTTTGCACTTTTTGCACTTTTTGCATTTTTATATGGATATGGCATAATTCATTCATCGGTGTTGTCAAGTGCCTGCGTCTAGAAGATCAGTGAAAAACAACTTTGTATTGTGCCTAGTCCAGCACTCTCTACAATTGAGTTTGATGCTCAACGATTGGTGTGTACGGCGCTGGTATAAAAAATGGGCACCTAGAGCCTGTAGAGGTTTGCGTGAGTCGATAACGTTTCGTGATCCAGAGTGTTCGCGAAGAACCTGTGGAGGGATTTTAGAACAGTTCACATAAGGGTTTCGCACAAAATGTGTGAAAACTTGGGTAGAGGGCCGAATAGACGATATACCAAGAGGTGGGGGTTCGTCAGTGGAAGGGTCGTCAGGTACGAGGAGAGGTGGATCGAACAGGAAAAGGGGAGAGGACGGTTGAGAGAGCGGACGTGTCTGACTAGGAAAGCCCGACTCCTGTATTAAGTGGCGTGCAGAGGACGGTTCTTGCGTATCTTGGGGAACGAGTCGAGTATCTTTGGGGAGGCTACTGCCTTCAAGAACAGCCTCGAAAGTCTCCCTCCAGTCTGGCCCTTGATTCGTTTGGAGAATTTTGGCTAAGTATTGGTTTGGCTGTAGAGTATGTAGGTGTTCGGATTGGAGTCTAGCTAAAGATGTGGTTTATACCGATTCCGTTGATACGTGCACTCGCATCTTCGCTCCTGCCCCCCCAACAAATCCCTCTCCCTCTTTCTATGGCCATATTTGAAGCTATTCCCAGCTAACCATTCAACTGTCTCTTCCTTGCCACTCTGCTACACATCCTTGCCAATTTCAAGCTTCTCCGACTGTAAATGCTCGTACGTGCAACGCTTCATTTTCCAGCTCTCGACCCCTGAATCGTGGCCCCCAGACTCACCTTTGCCAGAAACATGTCCAGACGCACTCCACAGCAGTCCATCATGGCCTAGATTTATGTGCTTCACTGTGTCCCTGGATAGCCTGCTAATGTCTCACAAAGTAAGCAACCATCATCTGAGAGAGCGCGACCAGGATACACAACGGGATGCGGGGTCATAATCCAAAGCTTGAACAGGCCCTGTCTGCATTCTCCAAACGGCCATGATGAAGGGGGTGAGAAGAGACACAAGGGTTTGTGCGAAAATGAACAAGTTGCGGAATGAAAACAAGGCAACCTTTATTGACTCCCCGACATATACTCGGCGGCATTTGAAGCCCATTCCCTGGCTTCTCCACTCAGTTCGGATCTTCTAGCTAACTCTCTCAATTTCTGTGCCCAAAAGCCCCACCTCATCGCTCAAACCGACTGGACCTGTGAAATCGGAAGCAGCTCCCCCATGTCCAGGATCAAGATCCAGGCCCCGGTGCTCACAAAACCACTTGCCCGCTATCAGAATCCACATCGCAGCACTTGGGATATTATTTTCGAGCGCAGCTGTATTTCGCGGGATTTCTAGAGTATCGGCTAGAACCATGAGTCCAGATCTCGCAAACTGTGTGTCGAGACGTCCAAAATCTTCGGCCACAAGTACAGCCAAGAATGTGTTCATGCTGAGCCACTCTTGAGGTGACCACGCATCGTGGCCAATATAATCATCAAGCCTATGTTTGTAGTCGAAGGATTCAGCCTGTTGTGCGCCAAAGCAAGGGAACGAGTCCCATCTAAACTCCTCGTCGCCATAGTCCACAGAAACTGCTCTCGGTGGTGGTGGCTGCTTCCCAAGAGCTTTAATAAGTGATGCAAGCCGTTGATGCCATGTATGTTTGCAGGGAAGCTGGGTCGCAATACTGAGAGATTCACCAAAGATTGCGGCGATATAGTTTTGAGTATTGTCGGGCGAATCCCACGACGCTTGGAGACAACTACTGTTGTTCAAATCTCGCAATAACTCCGTTGCTGTATCTTCCGCTGTGGAAGTAGAAGAACGAAGAAAGGCGTCGATTATCGTAAATGGTCGGCCTGGTCTGGTGTGTGGCATGCTAAGGACAACGACCGATTTCAAAGGTATGCTCACGTCTGCTATGGTGTTTTAGAAGGGCCGAGGAAGAGGACAGGTAGTCTGGTTCAAGAAATTATTCTGAGACGCCGAAGACTTTGATAACTTTTGTAGTAGGAATTTATAGGAAGAGGACTGCTTGAGGTCGAGAAAATTTTCAGGTGCTACTTTTATCCCTTATGTACCGTACTGTGACTGCGCCACCAACATGTTAGGGATGAGCAAATATATAGGATTTTCCGCAGTCGAGGTCCAAAGGCCAATCGATGAACATATTTACACGGACTATCGGGTAATGCCTGACATGTGGCTTATAAAAATAATGGATGCTAAGTTATATGCATGACACAGACGGCAAAATAGGCAAATTAGTCCTGCTTGTTCCCTGTTCAAGTGCCAATCTATATCTTTTAGTATAGTGAGAATGAGTATTCAGCTGCCTCATAAATGATATTGTTACATATCCAAACTACTACCATTCTCAACGTCCACTTAATCAAGCTAAAGGGAAATCCCTAATCTACGCTCCGTACATATCAAAAAAACAATCATTGATCCCGTTTTCACATCCAGTACTAAACTCAACATGCCAATGTGCCGTCATTATTCCCAATGCAAGTGTCTAGAGGCTTAGTATCAGCAAGATATCTTCTAATCAGAAACTTGCTTCAAGGATTCATTCTTAGATCAAATGTAACATCACCGGCACCGCAGTCACATTTGAGAATTTCTTCATCCAAGCTACACACCTTTCCCGGTTGATTACAAGTTGATGCAAAACCGCTTCTGCGGAATATTAGTATATGCCATCGGAGAGACGGAGTTTCTGGCAATTACCCTCCACACTGTACGGCTGGTTAGCAATATTACTAGGCTGAACTTGGGACACTCACAGATAGCTGTCCCCCATTGTTCAACAAGCAGCCATTGAGGTCGATCGAAGTGACAGTGTAATGTCCAAGCGTGTTGGGACACTGCGTGGACATAACGCCGGCATTCCCTACTCCAGTTTCTAGTCGCGGTATATCGCATTTCTGCAGAAATCCGCTCCATCCACCCTCGATGACGATGAAAGCGTATGACAGTGCTGCAAGGAAGGAAAATTGGACCTTCATTTTGGAAGTCATGCTCTGAAGTGGAAGAGTAGGGGCGGGGGCGGTAATTAGCCGTACCAAAATTCGGACTGACAACTTCGAAATCGATGAGTAGATAGACGTAATATATCTCTTAGAGAGAGCAAAATGCTGTCTGTAAATAAGTTCGAAAGTGCTGTACCTACTTCAAGGACGGTTTTGTGAGCAGGATGGGCAGGCTGGATTGTCTCGTTATTCTAATCTAGGTGACGATAAAGTTGGATGGCGGGGTAGAAACGTAAAAAGGTGCCTTAAGTTTCATCTTTGTTGACCAAATAAGTGACAATCCGTCATAAGATTGGAGTGAAGCCGTTGGGAGGCAGTGAAGTAAGCCCAAAAGTTGGAAGCTGTGTGTCATATTTCCAAACGATATAGCCTAATTCTGGACACATAATGGGATTGTTGGTATGACTTGAGTGTTGGTGAAGTTGGAGGCTTAGATCTTTTCATCAGACCCAATAAAAGGTGTGCGTGGGAATGGATATATGATGTGCTTATGTTAGTGTTGGTGGCACATATAATCCTCCACCCCCAGAAATTCGGCATCCAATGTAACAGTGCAAGTGTAATACGAGAGACGAAGCCTCAAGTCACGATATTGCTAATTCAGAGGCTGCGCCATCGACGAATCCTTTGCGTCGCGCCTGGCAATTGTGTATCACGCGGAGCTAAGTAGGCTGAAAGCCGGCGCAAAGTCTTGAGGCCACCGGAAGAGAAAAACATATGTCGGGAAATTTTGAAATCATATCATAAACTTGAAGTGAAGTTGCTTATTGAGAGCTAATATTGTGGGGAAGTTAAAGTCTATATCACAAGGAGAAATGGAAACTGTATTGGGTTGAGAAAATACTCTATGGTTTTGTGTTAGAACAATTTCGGAAAGTTTCTACTGAAATCATCGCGCCCTGAAACGAGATGATCTCCCCCTGTAGGCGACTTAAGCCACTGTAATTACTGATTCTTGAACGGATCGTTGGCCGGTCCATTGTCAGGGATAGCATCATTATCCGTTCCAGCAATCTCTGGAGGTACGTAACCATCACTGACGCATGCAGCACCGTTTGCAACGATAATGCCATTGCAAGTTCCAGTCGAGATAGCCTCCGCCATGCACTTGTGATCGTGGTCGAGGCCTGAGAATGAAACTCCCCATCCGAAGATTATGTCGAAGTGCAACTGGAGTCCTGGATTCATCACAAGCTGCCAATTATTATCGCCGTCGAGTGAGTAGGCACAGCCTCTCAGCCTTCTAGGCTCTGTCAACAGCCTGTAGCTCGTTGCTAACCTTCTTTTAGTAACTCCTGCCGACTGTTCAAGCAGTGACCCACTGGCCTAGGTGATCATAAAGTATGTATCTTCTCAGCTTGGGCGTACCTCATGTAGGTTTCTTGTCCGGCTTGCGGAAGCGTCCCTGCAACCAACAGCGATACATCTTCAACTGCTTTGCCCTATTGACAAGTAACCTCCTATCAACCCCCATATCCACAACTTCAAACCTCTCCTTCGCAGTCCAAGCCTCCACCAGTTCGTCCCTCTCAAAGAAATAAACCCTTGTGCCATCCCCACGAATATAGAAATTCTCCTCCAAATACCTTCCTTTCTTGAAGCGCACTTGAGCCAAGTCCCCACGGCCGTAGTCCCGGAACAAAACTTCGCCGCCCGGTTTCAGCACTTTGTGGATGTTTTGGACAGCTTGATTCCATTGTAAAGGCGAGAGAGCGGAGAAGATGAATATCATGATCACAACATCCACACTCTCCTCAACAAGGCCAGGTGGTAGTTCAGTGCCAGCGACATCCCAGACATCTGCTTGGATATTCTTGGTATCATATGCTTCATTTGCTCGTATAACTTCCACGGAATTCTTTGAGAAATCACAGGCATGAATTTTCAAGCCGGGATTCTCATTGTGAGCAAGGATAGGGTATGCAGTATTGCCAGCTCCTGCACCTACTTCAAGGAGCGTAATAGGACCTGCTGATGGCTGGGTAATGGTGGACAGCACAGGAAATTCTTGCTGCAGCCACTTCCGGTCCTTAAAGAAGTTTGCGGTGTTGTTTTTGTAGAAGTTGTTCCACCATTTTGCGGGGTCGGAATTGAATCTTGCTTTGGGATTGTCAGTACAGATCCTGACATGAAAGTGAACGTAAGTGGGGTATTGAAAGAGCAATTCAGATAGGAGCGAAAGACATTGCGTGTATTGTTTCGTTCATTGGTAGTAGCCTCAGATGAACTATGCATAATCAAATCATCAGGATGCAGGGGAAGGGAGTGCAACAGTATGAACAGGAGAAGCTTACTTTTGTCAAAATCCGAGACGGGAGCTTCGCGCTGCTTGGCGTATTGCTGTTCTGCATACTCTTTGTAAGTATCGTCAGTCTCTACATGATCCCATGCATTGAACTCGAAGACATTGTCTTCCTGATTGAGATAACGAGAGCCAAATTGAAAAGGGTCGCTTCTCTTCAGGTTGTTCTCTGGATCGTGCGAGCGATGGGGAGCAACTGGTTCTGGAGGCTCAGTTGCTGCGGGTGAGTCCTTGACTGTTAATGCAGAGAGGTCCTGGACCAGAACAGTCTCACCGTTACTTGAACTCGACTCCATGTTTGATTCTATGGGAACGTAGAACTTGGGAGACCGAGTTGCAATGTTTGTGGTTGTCGAGGTGGGAAATTCTTGAAGGTCGTGAGAAAAAAAAAGTTGTGTAGGCCGTGAAAGGCGGTGAGGACTTTCTGCCAGCGCTAACTGGGTGCCTGAGATTTTGGAAGCTAAACCTCGGTCGAATGCCTTTTATATGAATGACGGCACGAATACTGAAAACGATCCACTTGTTATTTTCTTTCTCTTTAATCGTTATGCAGTTTGGACATTAACAATAATTTCTTAAACTTTGTTTTTTCTGCATTGAAATTCCTTCAATTGCTATCACAGGTAACCTCCAGTACCTTCATCATGTCGAAAGTCCTCCGAACCCTTCGACCGCAACCAATACTCCACTCCCTACGACAACCTTCAGCTTCCCAGAGTTTCTTAACCCTCCCAGGAACCGAAGCCCAAACCCTCACAGCAACCCGCATCCTCCCCTACAACTCCAAAAGCCTCTACACCCTCATCGCAGACATTGACAGCTACTCCAGCTTCCTCCCCTACTGTCTTTCCTCGCGCGTCACAAAATGGTCCGCCCCCGACAAAGACGGCAAACGCTGGCCCTCAGAAGCAGACCTGAAGGTCGGCTGGGGCGGCTATGAAGAAACGTTCACATCGCGTCTATTCTGCGTACCTGGTTCGATTGTTGAAGCTCTTGGGGGAGAGGCAATAACCAGTCTTCCAAGGGCAGATTTAGAGCACCATAAAGAGACGCTTGATAGTCCGGCGATAGCAAATGGTATTTTCCAGTCGATAAATACGCAATGGAGTGTTAAACCGTTTCATTATAAGCCACCGACGGGACGGCCACAGACAGATACCACGGAGGAGCCGGCGAGGGATCGGACGGAGGTTCATCTTAGTCTTGAATTTCAGTTTTCGAATCCCTTGTATGCGGCACTTAGCAAGGCGGTTGCGCCGAAGGTGGCGGGCATTATGATTGAGGCGTTTGAGGTTCGGGCGAGGAAGCTGTTGGATGGAACGGGGGCGACGGTTCATAGGGATAGGATGGAGTCACGAATGTAGGGAAGCAGACTGGTGCTTGAAGATGGCGGATAAAAGGCGTTTTTGAGACATCTTGGCATATAGATGGAGTCTTCAACACTGGGATATGTATCAATACTTGTATTAGACGCCTGTATGATTTATGTGTCGGATGCTCTTCTGTTGGACACTCATTCGAGCGAAACTCCGATTGCTGAACTATTCTCCAGATCATTCTCGAGATCATTTCAGGTCGTCCTTGCCTTTGGAACAGTTCAATTCCGCAGAGACCTCAATCTTTCAGTGCTGTTTCTTTCATCGTGGCCATGTTTATTCCATTTTATGCTATTATACACTCAAGTGAGAATGTACCACTTGGTCCAATGAATTGTTCCATCGACACCTACACATATGAACTCATTAACAACAACAAGCCTTTCCTTGAAAATAAGTGTCTAGATGACAGTACACGTTTTCCGGCTTCCTTCTTATCCCCACTGTGTGCTCCTAGTTAGGAAGACATGCTTGCTTCTAGCCGCGCAGGGCGTTTTCAGTGGCCTCTCTCTGCTCGTCTGCTCGTCATCTTCAGGTCACAATAAGTCCCCAGTATGTTCTTCCTCAGATGATGCCCCTTGTGGTAGAATGTAAGACAGATCCCGCCACAGTTGGAAGGTCTGCCCCGGACAGTTTCTCATTGCTTTTATAGGTCTTACTAGGCCTAGATATATGTTGGAATAAAAAAGTTTATTTCAAAAATTCACTGGCGGAGAGTATAATGGATGGCTCGACGGAAAATTTGAAAGAAAAATGTTCTTAGCATAACCAGCACCGTTAGGCTTAGTCCAGTGCGCTCTGAAGGGTTGTGAGCGGCATGGAACTCTAAAACAAAAAACAAACAAAAACTTACAGTTACGGCATTCTGCAAAATGTCCCTATCAAGCTTTTTATTCTTCCTTTTTGCCCTCCGGGCTCATAGCGGATCTTTCTAGGAAGGCATGTTCTGTTCTCTTTTGTCACTTATATTCACCAGTGAATGAAGTCGTCCTAGAGGCTTAACCGCTTAATTCCGTGCCTTCACATACCTGTGAAGTGCCACCAAATGATGTGCAAGCGAAGATCAAATATAGAAGCAAGTGATCAATCTATTTGTGCTACAGAGTCGGATGAGGCGTGGGCTGACGGATTACAATCAACCATTCTCTATGATACAAGTGATATCTATCGCACAGCAACGAAACCTCCATCTACAGGGAACAATTGTCCAGTCATCCAGTGCGAGGCGTCACTCGCCAAAAACACCATAACGGGGGCTAAATCCTTTGCTGGATCTCCCAAATTCCCACCCAGGGGGAATTGTTCCTTCAACTGCTTATCGTGCGCTACCAACTCTTCAGGACTCAAAGCATTACGGAAACCATAATACATAGGAGTAGCCACATAAGGCAAGACTGCATTAACCCTGACACCAGCTGGACCCCACTCTCTTGCCACACTACGAGTCCAGTTGTGGACGGCGCCTTTGGTCATCCCGTAGAGGGTATTGCCAGTTTCCGCCGTCAGTCCAGCCTCAGATCCGAAATTGATAATAGCACCGCCTTTCCCACCCTCTTTCATAAGCTGGTAAGCGGCTCCATTCGTAAACAGAGTCCCGTATAGGTTGATTCTCGTAATCCGCTCGAGGAATTCTTCATCAAAGTCATGCGAAGGCGCGTGCTTTTGAATGCCCGCGACATTGACCATAACATCGAGGCCCCCCATCTTTTGGGTTGCTTCGGCAAAGGCAGATAGGACTGCTTTCTTGGACCCAACGTCTAGAGACATGTATGAGACTGATCCTGGCCCTGTTGATGTGCACTCCCCAGCTACTTTGGTTCCGAGTGAGTCTTTTATATCCATGGATGTGACGGTTGCTCCCTCGGCGGCGTAGGCACGCACGATACTCTCGCCTATGCCCTGAGCACCACCCGTGACGATAATCCGTTTCGACTCGAGCTGTTTGAAGAGGGGCGACTTGGCGGAGAAACATCGAGAGTGAGGTTTGCTGGTTTTAAGTACTCCGTTGTTTCGGAGGGCCATTCCGATGGAACGTCTCGCGCAGAGATTGATTGGGACTGTGTTTCGTAAAAGGCTCGCCATAGTGAATATGATAGAAAGAAGTGACAATTTCAGATGATTGAGACTGGGGAAGGAAGGGTATTATTATAGTCATATAAAATGTGGGTGGTCGGCAAAAGATACCGTTGAAACTTGCGGAGGATGAACTTGCTAGCTTCATCACCCCATGACCTTCATAATGTGGTGGTCCAAGCATTCCCCCCACACTATTTCTGGTGTCGCTATTCAGAGCACCAGAAGTGTATTCGGTAACACGCAACAAAGTGTAACAGATGACTGGCCTAGGCTGTATGTCTGAATGGCGAATTTCTAAACTATATATATACAATTGTAAAGGAAGTATTTCGTATTATAGTTACAGTGATATTAAACCGTGATTGCCAGGTAATATAAACATATACCCCTGATGCCTCCGTTTTTCAGGTAAATTCGGAATACTCCGTGACTTATACGTTTATGGAGTACCCCATATTGACTATGCCCCCTGATAGCATTCCCGATTAAACTATACGAGTATTTACTGGGAATATTCTCACAAAGACTAATCAGGTAGCAGCTTCGTCCTCGCACTCGCATTCGCACCCGTATAGCAATATGCAGGTGCCTGGTAATCGTCTGGTAACGAGCGTCTGGTGGGGCGTGCTAAGCCTATTTAGTACCACCAGACGATTATTGGTTTGATGCCTCCACCCTTTTTATTTCCTTGAGATTACCGAAAGTTGTACAAAGTAGCTGCTTGTTCTATCTCGCTTTCGAATAGAATCTGTTATTATGCTTCCAAGCTTCAAAATTCTAGAGCTTTTATCAACTTTTGATTTACGATAGATCTTACACCTTTCAAAAAGATACTTATAGAGCTCAAGCCTATAGGCATTGAACGCCAGGCGTTCTGGACTAAGGTACCTACTTACTAGGATATTTTATACTATGGTTCAACCATGTAGTGTAGTCCAAGTTTTCTCTACACTTCGGGGGTGTTACTATTCAGAGTGTAACAGATGATTAAGCGCACCGACTGATTAGCATTTGATCACAGTGACCAAGTGATGGATACCCTCTTCTGCGATACAAAGTATCAGAGTTGTGAACAGCAGGGGCAACGGATTGCTGATTTTGCCGTCTGTATATTTGCCAGATCTATCTTTGACGCCTCGACTGCCTGCGTGTAATGTGTCCAACTGACAGTCTCCAGAAACGGTAGCTATCAGTTCCTACACACAGACCCAGTTGGTAGCGTCTCATCGTAAATCTGAGTCCTCGACTCGTACAGTAATCTCCCCCATTAGATAAGATAAGCGATAAGCTTCTATGTACCCCGCATGCTACAGTGCAAGGATCGTATCACCACGTGTAATTTAGGCACGTGTCGCCTTATTTGTAATACCATGGCCCATAGTATCTATTTGGAAAAGTAGTTATATAAGTAGGTAAATCTTATAATACGCATATAAATATTCTAGTGGAAAGGGAAGCTCATGTGCTATAATACTTCCTTGCTTTTTATAGCAATTACATAGGTCATAACTCCTGTTAATTGGAGAAGTGGAGAGTCACATGGGGAACGCCAAAATAAAATTTACAACTATACATAACCCTAAGGATAATTACCCATAGCATGATACCACTGCAAAACACCCCCGATCAGAAATAACCAACTCCCCCAAAAGCTCGCTAGCGCTGCCTGCAGCGAAGCGTCCGTCGTTCCAACAAATGGCAAAGCCCCAGCCAATGTAAACCCGATTGACCCAACCATGTTGGTAAGCCCAACATACCAGTCAAGTCTTGTCAGTGAGGGTAGAAACCATCTATCTTGGCAATTAACCATCTGCAAGAGCCCAGCGATGGTGAAAAGCACACCTCCGAAAGTTGCGGGGAAGAGACTGGCGCCGTAGTACTGGGGGATGTTGGAGAAGTCTATAACACCGGGAACTCCGGTTATGGATCCGATGAAAAAGATGATGGTGCCGATGAATTGAATGAAGCCGGCGAGAAAGACGAGGTCGCTGTGGTAGGTTGAGACAAAATGACGCATTGTGGGCCACCATATGAAGGAAGGACTACCTAGTAAGGCCATGTGTGTTGCCGTGGAAGAAGTCGCAATGGTCGCAGTGGCTTGGCGCTTAGGAACAGAAAAACGGTGCATGGGAAAAAGAGTGTTGTCTTGGTCATGGTCGCTTGTGGTTGGTGAGTATGGTAGTGATGTAGTTGCATCCGACTTCTCTTTTCTAGGCTCCGACATGTCACCAGCATCAACAGTTAATCCTTCAGTAACTATAATTTGCCCTCGTTTGTAGTTCAGTCCCTCGAGCAGCCCTGAGTAACCACCAAGCACAAAGAGAATTCCGCCAAGCAGCCCAGTAATAGGCGTCGCATACGAGGTTTCTGTGCTGAAATTTGTTTCGGGGGCAATCAATGGCAGTACTAGAAAGAAGCCATTGATGACAAAGGCCGCTGAACCGAATGTGAAGGTCACTCCTACCATCCAACTCATGTCTCTCCAGGGAAATTGAGTGCAAATTTGTTGGATGCGCCGGAGGAAGCCCGAACGTTGCATTGGAGGAGGTTGATGTTGATAGGAAATTTCAATTGTAGAACCCGCTGCGAAGGACTCCGTGGAAGGGACATGAGGAACTCGATGACCCTCTTCGACTGAAATGTTGGGCCGCTGCGTAAATCGTCTTTCGTCAGACGTATCCAGACGATTGAGGAAAGACATTCGATGTGGATGATTATGGATAATTTGGGTTTCCATTTTCGTTGAGCGCAGGAGAAATTACTGGAAGGTAAGATAAGTATAGCTAAAATGAGGAAGTGGGAGATTTATCTCATTTATAAAACTCCAGGAGTCTGCTTTTAGGCGAGTTTGTGCAAGAAAATGGTCATGAAATTAAAGCTAGTGAGCGTCTTTTTTGCTATCTTTGAGTTAA